GTAGTCATCATTATAAAAGTGTTAGCGTTTCTTAAACCTGTTATTCTGTTGTTGGCCACTTTCTACCTCCTTGTGTGGACTTTCTGGCTTCTTTAACTCGGAAGCCTTTCCTACTAAACCACTTAATATCACTATTATTGTGTTATTATTCATAATTAGTCATTATTCTTATTTTTAGCAGACAAAACATGTTTCTCTTCAGCCACAATCTAGAAACCCATTAAGTTCAATAGAAATGTTTTTTTGTTTTTTTTTAAAGAAGCAGAATTGCTGTCTTTACGGTCACCAGCAGTCTCACATCAGCGTCTTCTAGTTTTAGTTTTACACCCAAACAAACAAAAGTAATTCTGTGGTTCCAGAAAAAGCACAATTGCTGTGTTTGAGCCGATGTTAATACTACATTTTTGCTTGAGTTTAAAGAGGCAAACACATGTTGGTACAGCGTTTTAGTCTGCTTGTTTGTGCGTCTATTTTTTCATCTTTCAACCTTCAGGTTTTGTTTTATCAAATATTCAAAAGGTTGGTTATAAATTACCTTTAGGTTGTGAGTTTAATGTCCATTTTAGTCATTCCAGCGGTTTTAACAATCACATTACAACTTTAAACGAGACCATTTATGATGTAAGGAGTTTCAAATTGAGTGTGAGCAGAGATTTTTATTGAAAACTCTTTGAACTGTGTGAGCACCGGACAGCTTGAGTCAAGGCAGATCAAACAGGTTTTTTTCATATCATTATGATCATATTGTAGCGTTCAACATGCTTTGGAGTTTTACGTCTTTTCCTACATACATGTGAGAGGGTTCACTCCAAAGTGAGGGAACCAATAAACCAGCCTGAAATGAATTCCAGCTTCATCAGGGTGTGCGCCACATTGACACTATGAACAACAGGGGGCAGTGTTATATTATAGTTAGATAGTGGACATGGACAGCTCAGTCAAGATGCAGGCACAACAATAAACGTACTAGTTGCCTCGACAATATTTAATGAAAACTAAGGAAATGCTTTTGATGAGAGTGCTTGGGATCAGAAAACGAGGTGCAGACGACCATCCAGGTCTCCCACCAGTTCAGCCTTAACTTAACTTAACCACAGTGTGTGTGTGCACTCCTCTCTGCTTTCCACTCTACCCCTCGGCTGCCTGGAGCCTCAGCAGACCTCATCACGCTCCCCTTTGTTCCGCTAAACTTCAGATGAGCCCAAGGTATTCACTGTCAAACACAAGCACGGCTGATAACACAAGCTGCTGTCAAAGTGAGCACGCTGGTTTCTGATGACAGTCGCCCTGCACGCAGCCTGAGATCAGGATATTCATTTCAGTCAAACCCACCCTCCTCCCCTCCTCTCTCCTCCTGCAAGCACTCATTAAAAGGCTTTTTTATCTGCACAGTGTGACTCAGCCACATTGGAGAGAGCTGTAGAGAAAAGGCAGTGGAGTGGGGGGATAGAATGATGAGGAGAGTGGATGTAATATGATAAGATTAAGAAAGGGAAGAAAAGGGAGGACAGTGAGGTGAAGAGAACAGACAAAACATCAGATTATAGGGGGAAAGGCAACTCTCTTTGCTCTGAGTGGCTTTCTCTGAGCCCGGTTTGTAGATGTTTGTGGCTGCTGGGCACCAAACCGATGATGGAACGGGAGGTATGACAGGACCGGAGTAGCCGAAGGAATTTAGGTGAACTTTTAATACAGACTCAACACCTATTGTGGATCCCTGAGGGAGCGACACAAGGGCAGCCTCCCATTCAGCTCGCCCTTTGCCCATTCCTCCATTGAGACAGAAGAGGGCGAGATGGACTGAAGAACACTGAGACTTCTATTCTGTGCTGATAATAAAGGCAGCAGTTTTTAATTCAGCCTGCTCTTCAGCCGGTGACTGAATTGTCTTCTATTCAGCCGTCTCTATTCATCTATCACTCTCTGTCTACCTCGCTATCTCTGTGCATCTTCTTTTTTTTTCTCTTCACTCAGCGTGCAATCTGGTTTTAGAGTCCCGGGGCTGGAGCTCCCTCAGCGGTGAGCCTCGGCCTCAGCACGGAGCCTCGACTGCAACTAAAGACATCCTGTTTCTCTCCAGTCGGACTCCCTCACACGTGCACGCTCGTGTGGTTTCTTTTCTACAGAGTTGTGTAACACCAAAGATGGACAGCTGATGCAGCACAAAAATGATCTCTCAGACTTTACCTTTAGGGTGCACGACACAAATATTTTCCTGTGCGTGTGCTTGTTTTGCACATTCAAAAGTTAAAAAGTTATTCATGCACTCCAGGAACACAGAGGCTCTTTTCAGCAGCCCATCGCCGGCTGTCTGTCCGCTGAACAGCGTCGCTCTGTTCTGCAAGAACTGAAGTGTTAAACAACCGCTGCCCACATATATTACTGCTTACAGTATATCAGGCTGCTCTTTTAGCATATTTCAGAAGGCAGAGAGTGCAGAAAGTGACTTTTTTTCCCCCCAAGATTAAAAAGAAAAAGGCAAGTTTAATGGTTTACATGATGTTTATTAATTGAAGGGGTGAATATTATAGTTCTATTGATTAGTTCTGAAAAAAGGAAAATAAATAAAACTTGAAGTGAAAGAAAAGAGGATTACAAAATCTGCACACATCATGATTACATGTCCAGTAAACACATCATAAATGTCAAAATAGCATTTACAAAAATAATGCTTTATCTGAGGCTCTACAGTCTACCTCAGGGGTGTCGACATCCGGTCCTCGAGGGC